CTTCAGGCGAGGGAGAGGGAATGTGACAAGGTTCACTCTCTCTCTCGCGTGGCCGGACTGAAGGGGGAACTTGAGAAAGGTTCAACCTTCAGTCGCGGGGAAGGGAATTTGCAAAGGTTCACTTCCCTGGATGAGATCGAACTGGAGAGGGAACTTCGAAAGGTTCACTCCCCAGGCGGGGGAGAGGGAACTTGAAAAGGTTCACTTTCCCTCTTGTGAGTGAGAATGATGACAAAGTGAAGGAGCTCCGCGCAGGGCGCCTTGTGGCGGAGCACTTATTCGGAGCTCACACAGGCGGCGCCGCGTCAGAAGATCGAACTGAAGCAAGCTCAAGAAGCAGCGCTCGAGGTCAACGCAGAGGAAGACCACATGGAGGAAACTGCGCGGCCGAAGCGCCGACTCAGAGGCAAACGGCCGCCAGGGGCCTCATTCGACAGCGAAGGCGCCTACGTGACACCGAGCGCTTTCATCCGGCATCTCATGGCGGAGCTACCCTCGAACAAGCGGCTGAATCGGCGACAGACGCTGTTCATGGTGATGTTCGCGGAAGCCTACGACAAGGCCTGGGAGGAAGATGAAAACAACGTGCCGCCCGATCAGCGAATGCCCACGCAGCTGCTGCTCCTGGGCGCTGGGGGCACCGGCAAGACGCACGTGGTGCAGCACTTGGCGTTCAGGGCACGGGAATACATTTGGCCCAACGAGACGCCCGAGTTCCCGTCAATGCTGGTGGTAGCGTCTTCCAATGCCCTTGCGAAGAATATCTCTACCGCCGAATGGAGAGCGCGGACTCTGCACAACGCTGCAAGAATGCGCGTCCAAGAGATGGTCAACGCGAAGATGCGGCCTGGCAACAATGCGCAGGCGCTCGAGGTGCGGTGGAGGAACGTGAAAGTGCTCGTCATCGAAGAGGCGAGCATGGTGTCTGCCGCAAACTACAACAGGCTGGGCTTCCGCGCCATGCGCGGGCGCACCAAGTCCCACGATGTCTCGGAGGGCAACTGTAAGAAGCAAGGGTGCAGCTTTGGTAGGTGCCCGATCGTCATCCACCTGGGCGAGTTCCTGCAGTTGACACCGACTGCGCAGCTCAGCCTCGCGACAGATCCAAGCGAGAGAGACGAGGGCGGCAACTGCGTGCGTTCGGAGCCGCCTTCGCTTGATATTCAGAACGCCCTCAGCGTCTTCAAGACGACCACCTGTGTCATCGAGCCCCAGGGAACGAAGCGCTTCGTCAAGGGCGATCCCCTCATAGAGCTCCTGAGCTGCATGCGGCAGGGCAAACTGTTCCCCGACCCTGTCTGGCGGGCCTTCGAGGCGCGGCTCGCGGAGGACAGCCGCCCCGACGCGAGCCCAGAGCTGGACCCGCGACACGCGCGGAAGGAGTTCCTCGAGGGCTACGGCTTGCCCATGCACTGGGAACCTCTGGCCCGCTGGATCGCCAAGCGCGCGGCGCGACGCCCGCGCGCTCGAGGCGCCGTTGGTTTTCCTGCAGGCTGCCGACACATGCGAAACCATCAAAGACAAGGGGTCGTACTCCAAGATGCTGAGCGTCGCCAGCATGTACAACGCGGGCCGCATGCACGGCGCGCTGCACGCCCACGCGGGGATGCGGGTTCGTTTCGCTGGCAAGTTCAATGGCAAATACAGCTTGGTCCAGGAGCAACGGGCCACGATCGCCGACTTCGTTTTCCACGAGGACGACCAGATAAACTACAACAGCGCGGGCCCCGGCGAGCTCTTCAGGCCGCGCCGCTCGCCCACTGGCATCTGGTTGCAGGTTGGCGATTTCACGGAAGCGCCCACGTGGAAAGATTTCATGGACTACGTGGGCAAAGATGAAAAGATTGCTCGCGGCCTCTTCTGCACGCCCCTGATGGAGACGGCCTTCACCTGGGAGGCTTCGCCCGCGGCGCGCAGCGTGAAGCGGTTTGGTTCCATGCTCGCGCACGCGCACTACCTGGCGACGACTGCCTCGCAAGGGCAGACGACACGCGCTGTAGTGACCATTGACTGCGCGCGCCAGGCGCCTCAGAGGCGACAAGGCATCAACGATGACACTCGGCGGCTGAACCTCTACGTGATGTTCTCCCGCGCAACTCGGATGGCGGACACGTTGCTGGCGCGGCCGCCGCCTCGTTGGTTTTTGGATGGAAAGAGGCCCGCCAGTGTCATTGAAACGCGCTTTTCGACGCTTCGCGGCGTCTGAGGACTCGACGGTGGCGAGAGCCGCCCTACTTGCTGGGGAGCACGGCATCACGCTGCCAGAGGAAGAGTGACGGCCCGTATTCTTTCTGGCCCGATGCCCAGTGCGGACTGCATTTTTTGTTGCCCAGATCCCTGTGCCGGGCACTGCAAAGCCCGACGCCCAGTGCAGACGGCTGTTTGCTTTTTTTCTTTGTTTTGTCTGTCTCCGCGCTCAGCTATTCCCATGCCTTCGCACCGAACCAAACCTGGTCTGATTCCAAGTGCGGACGGCCAACGACGAGCGCATTCACTTCGCCGCTTCACCCTACAATTCTCTTATGCGCTCAACCAAGCACAGCCCGATGCCAAGTGCGAACGGCACTCCGCGTGAACTCATTACTGCGTTCTCCCACTCGGCGTTCCCATCTTAGCGTGGACGGCGCAAGCGAACGACCTCTGCCACGGTGGTTCGGACGCAGTGCCAATGAATTCTTTGCTTTGACAAAGCAGATGCGCTGATATATGCTTGCGGATGAACATATACAGGTGTTGGATGTACAGCCGAGCTGCGCGCGCGTGTGCTCGTCGCTCACGTAGACGCGCTCTCAACACAAATCTATCATAGACAGATGCTCACCATAGCACTACCCTACAATATAATATGCACATATGGTTCATATGGCTAGATGCTCATGCAAATACCCTTATTGCAATACCACCTTTTAAACATGCACATATGGGGAGCTCCACGCAGTGAGTAGTTTCACGCTATCCCCTTTTTTCCATGTGTCTCCATGTCTTTCAGAATGTGTTCTTCAATGCTTTTCACGCTATCGCTTCTTCGAACGTCCGAAGCTCCAAGACGGCCACAGGGATCCCCAAGACCGCCCCGAGACGGCCCAAGTGGTTCCCCAGAAAGTCCCAAGAAATCTCGAGACGGTTCCGAAACGGTCCAAGAAGCGCGCCCCGAAACGGCCCCAAGACAGGCCCAAGAGGGGGAACACGAACCGACAAGTCGAGCCTTGCGCCCGAAGAGGCCCCCAGGAAGCCCCAAAAGGCTTCCAAGGCGCGCAAGATGGGCCGGCGGAACGAGCGAAGCGATCAAATTAACTTCTCCGCCGTCGGGGACGCCTGCCCCCCGGGCGGCTGCAAAGCTTAGACCCCACGGTGCCACGTTGGGCTACAAACCTTCCAGCCGCCCTGGATCAGGCGGGAATGCTCTCTGCGACCGTCCTGACAGCCTCCCGGACCCATCTTGAGCTGTCTGGCCGCCTTCTTGGTACCGTATTTCGCCCATCTGGGGGGCCCCCTTAGAGCCTCCAGGGGCTCTTCCAGGAGCCGCAAAAAAACGACTGCTCGTTCCCCCTTCCTGTTTCCATCGTTCACCCCAAGTCGCCGCACTTGACCCATTCCGGCTCCTTTTTGGGCCCCTCTGGAGGTCCCCCTGGGGCGAACACGACGGTGTTTTTGAGCTTCTCCAGCCTCTCTGCAGCCGTCCTAGCATCAGGGTCATGTGAAAGACACTCCTCGGCGCGCTTTCTGGGACGAGCCCGACGGTTTTTGTTCAGTTCCTCTAGCCTCTCTGCGGCCGTCCTGGCCTCAAGGTCATACGACACAGAGCTCGCTGCTTTCACTTCCTCCAGCCTCTCTGCGGCCGTCCTGGCCTCAGGGTCACAATTACGACAGAGAGCTCGCTGAGGAGCCCAATGTCCTCTCCATAGGTCCCCACGAGGCCTGCAAGTGGGAGCACCAGCACCAGCAGCAGTGCCAGCACCGGCCGCCGCTCCCACAGAGTCTCCAGGATCCAAACATGGTGGGGCGGCGGTGTCTGCCCCCTCAGAGGCGTTCAATCAAATAAACTTCTCCGCCGTCGAAGACGCCTGCCCCCCGGGCGGCTGCGAAGCTTATACCCCCACGGTGCCACGTTGGGCTACAAACTTTCCAGCCGCCCTGGACCAGGCGTCCCCGACGGCGGAAAAGCTTAGGTTGTCGTCCCCGGATACCTGCCAAGCCACCCCCACCCAACCCGAAGTCGCCGCTGGGCCTGTCAAGTTCCAGCGCGGGGGCTTTCCGGAACATTGAAAAGTACAGCGGAACCTGTACAGCCTCCAACCCGAAAGTTGGGGCAACCTGAGGCCTTTGGGTTGGGTTGGGCTGCTTTGGAAGTAAGGTTGGAGCACGACCGAGGTTAGCAGAAGGAGGGTTCAGAGCAGGAAAACACGCGGCATAACCAGACGGGCGGGTCGGGTGGGCGGGCCCTAACGAGCGGGTCGGGCGGGCGGGCCCAGACGGCCGGGTCGAGCGGGCGGGTCGCTGAAGCGTCAGTCTTGCATGAATCGCGCGGAAGTCCCGAGCGATAGCGCGATTCCTAAGTGAATCGTGAAGAAGTCTAAAGCGAGAGCGTGATTCCCAAAGTGTCGAGGGCGCAGCGTCTCAATAAATTGCAAGGATGTCCCACGCGAGAGCGCGATTCGTGCATACATTGTGAGGAAGTCAATTGCGAGACCACGATTCCTGCATAAACTGTGAGGGAGTATCCAGCGGGAGTCGCTCTTGTTGTAAACAAGGGCCCACCAACCCAGTCTGAGGCGCAAGACTCCCCCTCGCAAAAAGCCGGGTGCGAGCCCCAGGAGCGGCACTTCAGTAAAAAAGAACACGGTGCACTGGAGAGAGGGGGATCAACAATAATTATTCATAAGGACTGACAGTTCTACAAGAAACGACGAGCTGGAGAGGCAGGACGACAGGGGAGAGCGGGTGCGACGCGAGGGGGGGAGAGTACGAGGACGAGACGGGGCACGAGCTGCCCTGCCCTCCTTCGCGGACTTGGCCATCTCCTTGGACAGGTGCTTCTTGTACGCCTCTCGGCGGACGGCGGCACCAGGGCTGGGGGGCACTCGTCCCGAGGAGGGAGGGAGGAGGAGGAGGAGGAGGAGGAGGAAGGAGGAAGGAGGAGGAGGAGGAGGAGGAGAGGAGAGAGGAGTATGAGGAGGAGGAGGAGGAGGAGGAGGAGGAGGAGGAGAGGAGGAGGAGGAGGAGGAGGGGGAGACACAGCGTCGGGAGCAAAGGTTCGTCGATGCGGTGAGCTTGGAAGGCGAGGGAGCGCAACGCACGAGCAGCGAGGCAAGCGGCCGATCTGCCGTGGGGCGGTCGGCGGTGATCACGAGGGGGAGAAAGAGGAGGAGGAGGAGGAGGAGGAGGAGGAGGAGGAGGAGGAGGGGGAGGAGGAGGAGAGGAGGAGGAGGAGGAGGAGGAGGAGGAGGAGGAGGAGGGCCTGGGCAGTGGTTGGCACCCACGGGGAGAAGAGTTAGTTCGAGCCTGTCCCTCTACAGGAAGAATATTCAAAAATAGTAAGAAATAGTCGGGGACGGTTTTTCGAGTATGTTTGAACATGTTTTGGGCATTGTTTGACTATTTTTACTTTTGTTGTCCACAATCCGCCTGTAGGTGGACAGGCCCGACCTAAGAGAAGAGCCAATGCGCTCAAAATCGGTCCCAGGACACCTTCCAGAGTCCACCTGGTGCAGTCTTTCATACTGGATCCGTCTTTGACGGCCCCAGGGCGCGCAAAGGGCCAGAGGCCGAACAAAAAAAAGCCTTCCCGAACTCGGAAACTTTGGCCTTGCCCCCACCCCCTTCCCGCTCACAGGAAACAATGCTGGGCCACTTCCCAGACCCCCTCGAGCCATGAAAAATCACAACGCGAGGGTGCTCGCTATTCTCGGCCTCTGGGGGCCCTCCCTCACCGGGCCTCGCGGCCGTCAAAAAACGATTCAGGATGAAGAACCGGTCCTGGGGAATGGGTCTGGACCTCTGGGGGTCGCGCCATGAGAAAATCATGACGTCGGGGGTCTGGGCTCAGACCACCAGCCGGCTCCAACGAGCGCCGAGGCCCTCGCGCTGCACTGCCCCCCAGCGGGCTCGCCGGGGAGGAAAGGGCCGCGCCTACGCCCGCGTTGCAGTGGAGAGCCGTGTCGCCCCGAGCCCCGCCGACCCCACGCTTGCCGCTTGCCTATGAGAGCGGCGCAGTTTTCTCTGTGGTTCAAAAACGGGGTCCTGAGGGACGGGGTCCCATGGACCCCAAGGTTGAGCAGGGACCGACTGTCCCGGCATTCCTATAGTCCTACCACGAAATGTTCTTAGAACCCAGAAATGGTCTAAGAACAAAAACCATGTTCTTAGAACATAAACCCGATGTGCTAAATCAAGACAGCCTCAGCCAGGAATGTTCTGAGAACATTTCGTGCAAACCACAACAGAATATTGTAACATGTTTTGGTGGGACTATAAGCGAGCAAGGACGCTCCGCCACTGCTAGACAAGGGTGGATTTGCATAGTTTGAGGCACCTCGTCCTCAGGACCCCATCCCTCAGGACCCCATTTTTTTGGATCACCAATTTTTGTTGCGTCTTCACGCTGGCTTCTCGGCGCGTCCAAGCCTCAGGATGCATTCCAGCGGCTGCGCCTCGCCGCGGGCGTTCTGGGGGTGCCGGGATCGCCCCGAACGGCCCGAACGGCCGCATGAGAGCCGAGCAATGACCCGAAAGCCAGGGGGCACGTGAGACCCCATGACATGACCCAGACCGTAAGCGAAACAAGCCTAGGAATGGCGCCTGTGCACCGAACCGTGCGTGGACTCCCTTCAAGCCCCGCTCCAACGCGGTACGGTGCATAATCGGTCGGCCCCGAGGGCTGAGAAGCTGTGCGCCGTACCGTTCCCGGGTCGAGGGTCGGCCACGACTCAGGAGAGGCGAGCGCGGTGTACGCTGCACACAGGTCGTCGGCGGAGTTCCGAAACGATCTCTGCTCGCGCGCCGCTGCTCCGAACGCAGACTCGTCGGCTAATTACCTCTTCCCGGATGTGGGGACCCTCACAGGTACCGATACCGCTACACCTCGTCCCCCTCCTGGGGTGCGTTCTGACCAGAATTTCGATGCAAATCCAGCGGTGGCGACGAGGGCCGCCCAGGAGGCCGACAAAAGGGCAAAACGAGGGGTATGGGTACCTTTTTCCTCCTTTGAGGATGACGGCGTGCCCTGCGCGCAGACTCTCAAAGGCAACCGCTGCTCCCACACGTCGGCTATACGCAAGAGTGGCCCTGGGTGAGAGTGACCTTTGGTGTGCCGTTTTGGGGGGACTGCGGGACGACCAAATACAAGCGCGCAAGACGCTACTATCACATCTCGCTCGGCGATCGGGAGACCCCAATGGGCCCACACCAGAGGTCACTCCAGCGAAGGGTCACGCTTACGTGTGGTCGGAGGAGAGAGCCCCGCCGGCCCGCGACCGCCCCAGCCTAAGGGGGCCGCCAGCCCCGCCCCTGTGGCAGCGAGCCCGCACACCCAGAGGGCGCGGCAGCAGCAGAAGGAGCGAGTGGGAAGGGGGGAGGGGGAAGGGAGGAGGAGGAGGAGGAGGAGGAGGAGGAGGAGGAGGAGAAGGCGTTTGGCCCAGGTGCAGGCCGAGCCTTAGGCGTGCCTGTGCAAGGCCGCGAAGAAGGATATTGTATCTTCCTCTTTTCTTCTCAGCACTTTCCTTTTATCACTGTACTTACCACGGCGCGTGAGCCGCGCTGGCATCGGCGCGCCAGAGAGCGCCGACATCGAGTGAGGGTCCTGCTATCGTTATACAAAGCCCAGTCCCTATTAAGAAGGCACCACAGTTCGCCCCATGTTGTGAAGATGCCTACAGGACCTGGTCATATTTGGGACTGTGCATGTGGACGGTATGTACGGGGGCACCATTGGGCATGTCTATGTGGTCGAAACTATGAGCAGCGTGTCAGAGGGAAAACACCCCAACGTCAGCAACAGCAACACTCACGACGACCACATAGTCGCCCAAGGAGGGAAGGCCAGAATGACTTCCATGAGCAGGATCGAAAAGGGATCCGTCAAGAGCAAGAGGAGATCAAGAGGTTTCTGGGCAGAGTAGTCACGATGAAGAGGTCTGAAGCGGTCACATCTGTGCAGTTTCTCGGGTACGAACAGGTGCCAGCTGATATCCCAGGCATCAAGGCCTACAAGGCCAAAACTAAGCAGCGTATGTTCGAGATAGCCCGCCTGATCATCGTTGCCAGCAGGGCGGGAACAGTGGATCAAAATCACTACATCAAGGAGGTGGCCTGTCTGAAATACATGATGAGCACTACGGAGAGATTGGTAGATCAGCTGGCGGACCTGAAAATCAAGAGGGACAAATGCCATATGTACTTGAAGACCATGATGGCCAAGATCAATGAGATGCAAATCCAGTATCGAGACGCGGAGAAGGACCTAGCCGAGTGGAAGGCAGCCATCGACGAACTGGAGGAGCTTGAGGATTTCATGGTGGGAGAAGAAGATGAGGCCATGACGGGGGACAACGCAAATATGGGGGCCCGATCAGCACCAGTACCGCCCCCACCGCCACCGACGACCTGTCCAACAGCAATGGGCATGAATATGCATGGGGCTTTCGCCCCACAGGGAATACAGCAACAGCAGCAGCAGCAGTTCCCACCGATGCCGCCTCAGCCCTATCAGCCCGACATGGAGATCAAGCAACTGTCTGAGATGGTCAAAATGCTGTGCCAGCGCCAGTCATACAATGATACCAGAATGGATACGATCATGACTCACTTGCAGCAGCAGACAAGTACGAGTGCGACGAATCATGCAGAGAGTGGTGTACCAAATTCTCCATCAAGTACCCCAGCAGCGCAGCCTTGTCCACCAACGCCGATCGGAGGTACAGCGACACCAGTGCGGAGTGAGGGCAGGGGCAGCACCCAGGCCCCAGTGATGGTGGAGGTGAGCGCCTCGCCCACGGAGATCGCCGAGGACCCGTACGGCATGCAGGCTAAGGCTGAGGCCAAAGATGAGGAGATGGAGGAGATCAAAGGGCCCTGTGATATGAGCGCCCCTTTTTTGGCACCGACCCAGCCTTTTCTTCCCGGGGCCCTCTCGCAGGAGGATCCGCTTCTGCTGCCGGTGGGGGGGGGGTCCCAAGGAGATAAACAGCCCACCCAGGAAAGAAGCCAGGACTGCCTAAGAGTGGTACGCTTTGGGAATAGTTTTGTTAGGACCTACAGGCCTGGTGACAATACCCCTCTCTTGGGTCATTATACTCCTCTCCACTCCTCCACCACGGCCAGGTCATGCATGAAAGGTGCTAGATCCAGGGAGAGAGATCAGCCCGACGCTAAGGTTCTTGATAGTAGAGCATTCACTGCACACACCAGCAACAGGTATGTTGCGACTGACACTGATCCGCCAGTGGGGATCCATAGGCGTAGATCGGTCGGTCTGAATGAGGGGGGAGGTGACGGTCGAGGAGGGGGATTCGATCGTGCTTCGACCAGCCTACATCCGCGCTACGCCAACAATAGGTATGCGCCCCTTTTTGATTTAGACTCAGATCCGCAGGAAGCAGAGGATGAGCAGGACATGGGGCAAATGTCCGAATAGTTTCACTGAGACACTCTGCCTGGGTCGGAAGGCGGAGAAGCGCCAGCTAAGTGTACAAACAATTCCAGTGCCGTGTCTCCCCCCTAGATGCACAGTTATGGTGCCCGTTTGAGCGGGGCCCGACCGTCCTGGAACTCGTCCTCTCTGTTCCTCCTATGCCCTGGGTCGTTTCCCTTCCTGAGGGGGTCCCCGTGGTGTCTTCTTGGGCCTTGGGGTTGTGTCCTGTGAGAGATGCTGCAATGGGGGAAGTTGCCTACTTCACCGATGGGTCCCTTAGGCATGGGGAAGACGACTCTGGGGCTTGGGCTATAGTCAAGGTTGCTACTGATGAGTTGGGGGTCTCATACCAGGGAGTGTGGGCAGCACCTTTCAACACCTCATTCCTCACCTCCAGAGCGAGGGGATGTCTAGACA